CGTAGCACAGACAACAGATGAACGAATACGATGTAAAATATAAACTTGTGTTGCCCTTTTCCATATTTTGCCCATTCTTTTAAATAGCAAACGATGTCGTTTGATGTTAACTGTTTTACCGGATCTTAGCAGGTAATAGCACACCACACTTTTCCGGTCCCACCAAACGTAGGGTATCGTTTTCCTGCCGAAATAAATCAATCTCGCATTCGATGGGGCTGGTACGCATCGATTTATTCATGATATTTAAAACAAAGAATTCTCAACATAGATCTATTGTTCATCTCCAGCTAGGATACGATGCGGAAGAGCCGGTCAAGAATGCAGCAGCCTTTCTTGTTTCTTATCTCTTCATTTGTCTTTCCCTTCATTACTAATAATAATGGCATTGTGAAGCACTTGAGGAGGCTTTTTTTTTTATCTCCCGATCCACAAATTAAGAAAACCTGTCCTGTTTGACAGAAGTGCGATTAATTTGCTAATTAATTTAACAAAGAAAAAGCAATAAATCTGAAGAATATCTTATTTAAAAATATTCTATGCTTTTATGAAAAATTTCAGTAGGCACTCAGAAGGTGCACATAAATCAACAGAGCGAGAGAACATAGAAGACGATAAAGGGAAACTTTTTAGCAAAATATTTTTTATATGGCAGTGAGTGAGTGATAAGAATAAAATCGTTTAGTTAAATATATAATTGAAGAAATTTATTAAATTTCTTACTCTTGATAGTTGTAAATAATTCTTATTAAAAATAGAAACAATAATAGAAACATTATAAAACAATATATAATACAATCACTATAATTGAACATAGTCCACCTTTAAATATCCTATACTACTTCGCTTCACCCATTTATTCATAAAACGACCTTTGCGATACAAGGGTATATTAAGTGTATGCGGATGTATGCAGCATCCCGAAGAACTTGAGATAGACGTAACTACTGTTATATCGAGCGATTGCGAGTCGCTTTACGAATTGTTTTAAGCTTGTCTATCTGTTTGTCCGTCCGTCTTGTTTTCTTATGTTCAACTTACAGCCCGCAATTATTGACTTATTTCAAAGATATATGATATAAAACGAAATGATTTGGCCCACGTACGTATGCCCACGAATATGGTCCACTTTCAAAGTAACGACTTACCGTGAAAAGACGTTTTATGAATAACTGTATTATTAAACGATTCGGTGTAGAGTTTTGAATGGTGGGCCGTGCCTCGCCCAAATATATATATATATATAGATACTCTCACACAAAAATTTTATATTGATGCTATTTATAATTTCATTGCATTTCTTTTTATCTTACTCTTCCACAAAACTTTTTAAAGTCAAATAGCGAAATACTGGCCTTGTTAACATTTCATGTCTTAGGAACTTCAAAAAAAAAATAAATTTTTGCTTAACTTTAAACGATTAATATAATAATATTCACATCCTTTCCACACTTATGTAGACATTGTATTATATTTGTTACCGATATAGAGTCGACATTATATTATTTGAAAAGGAATTAGTTCTAGGAAAAAAAAAAATTGAAAATTTAAATAATAATAATAATAATAATAATGATAATTAAGAATGCAAAGTATTAAGTTTTGTTAAAATTCATATATTAGTTTTAATGAATGAATTTACATATCAAGAAAATATAACACACATCTGGCACAATTGAGTTTGTAACCAAATAAAGTTTTTCAACTGCCTATTAAAAATAAATTCGAATTGACGGTTGCTTAGATCAACGCTGGACAATATAGGAAAATGCTAGAAATGAAAAATATGAAATTCTTTTTGATCTTATCAAGAATCGCTATCGAATTCTATATTGATGGAAAAAAAAACAAAAGTAACAAATAAGGCAACGTAAACAGTACCTTTAAGCTTTTTGTTTGTTTTCTTCAATTGTTTCGAAGCAAATCCCATCTGTGCTTTACGCCACCATCATCCCACTACCACTCATACATTAAACAATGACAAACACTGACAAACATACTCGTAACCAATGGTTACCACAAAATGGTGCATAAGTACACATGCACATATACATACATACATGCATACATATATATATATATATATATATATATATGCATGCAATACTTACCAATTATTGTTCTTCTGTTTGTGCTTCTTTCTGGTTTTCCTTTCACATCATCATCATCATCATCATCGTCATCATCATCATCGCCATCATCATCATCATCGCCGTCATCATCAGCAACGATAACAATAATAACGAGAATGTATAGCCTTTTCTCATAGATACAGTAAAAAATTTCTATACAAATCATATTCTAGCAGTAATACAACATAGTCGATGGCCTTGTATTACAAGGGGAAATATGTAAGAAAATACAACAAGAACTATTTATACATTACATTACATTGCAGAGAGTAATAGTAATATGCCCAAATAGTAATAAAAATCAACGTTCCTCTTCATTAATTGTGTTTTCTCTCGTTCTATCTTACGAGATTTATGTATATTCCATCTGTGGTTGTCTGTCAGGCGAAGACTTTGGTGAATAATCAATATAACAGCGCACTATGGTGCACACATACTGAACAGGTTTTTCCAAGTTAGCTGCAATAAAAGGTTGAAGAGATTTAAATGCATATACAAATGTATGTATATGCATAGTTTTGTGTTTGCGCCTGTATGCGTGTATATGTGTATATATTTGTGTTTATACATTTGTATATATGCAAGAGTATTTATTATATGTAAAAACATCCTCCTCCTTCTTCGTCTTCTTCTTCTTCTTCATCGGTTTTCTTCTTTTTTTTTTTTTCTTCTTCTCTTTTTCATCTGTCTGGGTACTGCCCTTAAATCGTATTTGTATTTAAGTATGTATATGATTAAGCATAAGCATGTAAGTGTTTGTGTTTGTTATATGTATGTATGCCTACTACTTTGGGAAAATACTGAGAATCTGTTAGACCCATAATACGCATTAGAACCAACGAGACATGCGTTGATCGAAATAGAGACACAATTACAAGCTCATCTCAAATACACACCCATCACACACTCACACACCATACAAACAATCATTTCTTTGAGGATGTACTTTTATTTATTTTTTTTATTTTTTATTTTTTTTTGCCTAAGTATCTTCCAGATACTTCTTGGCTTAGTATGTGTTAGTTAAGTACGTACGAGAGTATTATAATATATATATAAATATATATGTATTCATATATATATATATATATATATATATATATATGCATACATACAAACATACATACATATTTGCTTATCGCATCAAAAATGTATACTTACTTAACCACCACCATTCTCTACAAACACATGCATAAAACAGCCAATGTATCTCGTTATATATTTGTGTTTCATTTAAACGAAACGCTGAGAAATGCAGAGGGTACTGAGAGTTAGAGTGGACTTGAGACTTTGCTTTTTTTTTTTTTTTTTTTTAAATAAAAAAAAATTTTAAATTAATTTGTGGGTGTTTTAACTTTGTCACTCATTTGAATAAAACTTCTCAGAATATATTTGTGCTCGTATTCGTGAATTGTGAGAGAGTAAGCGATTAAATATACGAATAATTGAGCTCTATCTGCAGATAATTGAATACGTGGTGAATGCAAAGACGTACAAATACATAGAGGAAAACGTTTATACATTATACATTAAACCAAACGACTGACTGCTACTGCTGCTGTTTGATGAGGTTGCTGGTAATGCTTTTAATGCTGTTATAGGTTTTGTTGTTGTAGCTGCTGCTGCTGCTCCTGGTGGTTTTTTTTATTTTCTTTTAGTTATTGTTTGTGTTTTTTTGGGATTAGATTGAATATTGTGGTACGACGACGATGTATACGTGAGATTGGCTATGAAATTTTCTTTAAATACAACTCCCTTCAAGCAGACGCGCTTCAGTCGAGTTTCATCTGCCAACGATAAAGGATAACTTACGGCATATAGCGGTTTGACCGTAAGAGAAGTTATAAGTTTTACTCACATTAATGGATACTCGCACGTAACCATTTCTAAAGAGATACCAAACATATAAACAAATCGTACTCAAATACTTACTCTATTTTATTATCGTTGGTCTGTAACTTGGAGATTTTTGAAAACGGAAACTATTGTATATGCATATAAATATATTTACCCATCTATCTATGCACGTATATGTATATATGTATATATAAATTTATATATATATATATATATATATATATATATAAATACATATTTAAATATGCGTATGTACATATATACATATATATTAATAGCGAGAAGAAAAAAAATACTTGGAACTAAAAAAGTGTAGTAAAGCAGAGAAAACTAAGAACTCTTTAGAAGACGAATCAATACAAACGTGTAACGGATACGCTATATACAAGAAAAAGAACAACAAAAACAATCAGTTTATTTTTTTTATTCTGCTTTTTTTGGAAAACTCGACGTCTTTCTTAATTTTGTGTTTTCTCCGAAACAGTAGAAGCAAGAAGAAAAAAAAAAAAGTGCACAGTTTGTGAGATAACAACGACTTGAATGCGTTTTATGAATTCAACGTATCATTACGTGTGTGCTCGCGAACGTGGTTACATCTAAAATTCACGCAAAACCAGGTAAAATATAACAACTAATGAAGCAGAAATATCTTAAAATTTCAAAAACAGGAAAATTATTAAATGAGCTCGCGAATATAATGAAAACAGTTGTTTAAAAAAAAAAAAAAAAAAAAAACAACAATTTATTTTAACTACCAAAATATTATATGAAAATATAAAAAAAAAAATAACTAAATAAATAAGAAACAATAATGTTGGCTACAGTTTCGAGTGAAAAAAAAAGAAAAAAAAATTAAATTTTTTAATTTAATATTAATTAAAAAAAATCCATGTGTATTTCTCTACCTCAATCTTAGTGGATTACTTGAAAAAGAAATGATCCAAATCAAAGTGTTTTCAAATATTTCATAAAAGTGTCTTTCTATCTTTAAATAACAATAAAATGCAATCAATAAAATTTTACGTGAGACTTAAGCAAATAATTTAATAAAAGGTAATTATTTACTTAAAATACGAAAAAAAAAAAAAATAATTTTTTTTTTTTTCTCTTTCTACTTTTAATTACAACCTAAGCTACTAAGTAATTTCTAAATAGCCATTGCTATCATTATTGCTATCATATATATTCGGAATAAATCTTATTAAATCTCCCCCCATTTTAGCATCAATTTGTAAATGTATTTAAAAAAAAAATTGCTTTTAATTATATGAATATTGCTGAAAATGTTCTTTAATTAATTAAATATATATAGCAAAGAATTTTTTTATATGGGTTTTAAGCAAAATATTTCTACAAACAATCAAAATTCATATCATTTGAAGGCTATATTTGAATAATCGTAACATTTTTTATTTTTTTTTTATTTTTAGCACTTTCAATACGCTTAAGTGTTATTGCTTTAAAGCTTAGCGTATGTAAAATAATTAAGAGTACATCCGCTAAGTTTTAGATGTCGTTGAAGTTTTTTTTTTTTTTTTTTTTTTTTTTTGCTTTCTCGGGATTTATCTATTACTTTCTTACCGCTCATTCTTAATGCATCGATCTTGAATAGATCAGGTTGCGATCCTCTATATTTTACAATTTTCTCATAAGGTATAAACGTCGTATCGTTTTTCTTTTTTTTTTTTTTTTTCTGGAATATTTTCAATTCTTTCACTTTTCTCCCGACCTAACGAAATGGGTTACGCCCACATTCAAATTGACTGAATTCAATTTTTTTAAAGTGTCCCCCAGTGTATATGGAAAGTTCAGTAACAATGTCAAGGGGTCATACAAATAGACATTTGTCCCACGCTATGCATATATACAGAGGAATTTTTCTTCAATTTTTTTTTTTTCTTTTATTATCCAAGTATTAATATGTTTTATCACTTTGTCTACTTACTTTCGATGATGCAATCTCTTCAAGTTGACCATGGTTAAGAACTTAAGTGACTTACCGATTGTTATATTTAAAGATTTCACATCATTACATAAATTGTGAGATGTGCCCTAGCAGGTATTCCTGCATCCGCCGATCTAAATATGATTTTTATTCGCAGAAACATAACAATTATTATGTTTTTAGTCAAGCATATCTTGCACGTGTGTGAATATGAGAAGAAATTGTATTGAATTACCCGTAATAGGTTAGTTTCAGTTAAATAAAACTCTTTTTTTCCATTTAACTCGCATAATGTTAAAGCATTTTATGCGAAGCGCGCACAATAATAGCAAGTAACTGAATACTCATAGCTAAGAAACTTGCACAACTCTTCAATATGTATTAGTGTGAGGGAAAGATTTTCGATATTCTTCTTTTAATAAGTACATGGTCCATATTATCATTATTCAGGATCTCTGACCGCTAAGAGTAAATAAAAAAAAAAATATCTCACAACCCTTTTGAGATATTACAAGGAAAGCGTATATATGACTGCGTTTTAATTCTAAAAATAGAAAATTTAATAGAAGCGAGATCAACGGAAACAGTTACATATCGAAATTGTCTATTAGCAGGTAATTTTCGTAAAAAAAAAATTAAATCTTTGTACTTGATCCAAGCAAAAATATTGATTTAAAATAAATATGTATATATCGGCCGATATTATGCTTAATAGATGCTTTTATTACTTCTCGTAATTATCGATTTGACCTGCAGCAGCCCATAATTGAGCGCCAAGTCTTAACACGTTATTCTTTTTTTTTTTATTATTTCTCTGATACGTAACGAATATTCTCATGCTTTGACGGTGATGATAAAAATAATTTTTTTTTTTTTTTTGTTTTTTTTTTTCTAATAAATAAACAGGTCAAGTTATTATCATTCTAAAAATCGTAGATAAAATTTTTCAAAAGCATTAATAGATGTAAAAAGCTTAGATGGAATTCGAAGGAAATTTTCTTTTAAAATCTCATAATTGATTAGCACGTTAAAGGATACATCCTTTAAAAGGTATTTGAATAAAATTTCTTAATCTTTTATGTAAACCTTTCTATGCATATATAAAATGAAAAATATTTCTGTCAATTTTCTCAAAATTTTGACGATATGCTAAAATTCATCTAACTTCACTTTCAGTTTAACTGAATGCAAAATTAGTTGAAATTCATCGTTCATTTAACAGACATAAAATTTCTATTAACAAGTAATAAAATTAATTGTTGTTTTCTTTGCTTCATGCGATTTTAAGATTTAAAAATTAATAATTAATTCCTGAAAATTAAATGGTTGCTTGAACTAAATATAGGTATGTAGATAATGCCCCATCCCATTATGATAATATATATAATAATTCGTACACACAATTTATGTTGACGTAAAGTAAATGTCTCTCGTATGCGATCAATTTGCACGAATTCGAAGAATTTGCGAAAAGAAAAAGCACAGTTCACGCTAACATATAATGACAGTTACGATCGCACTAATGCGGATTCTATTATCAAACAACGATATCTCCATGATTCCTGTAAAGTCAACTAAACTTCATTGGCTTTGGAAATGTGCAATTTATCGTAAAAGTCACAAGGATTGATATAAAAAGAGCTTAAAGTTGATAAATATATTTTTTTCCTACAATGCCGTAGATTATTTATTTTACAAATTTTTATCATTGACTGAGAAGCACACGATCAATAATTGCAATGTCGGATATTTTAACAAAATTTTGAGAAATATATGCACTTATACGATCTGCAATATTCGACAATGTATAAATTAGTTCTAATTAGCTAGATGATCGAACGCATTTGAATTCCACTTGCAGATTGGACAAGACGACTTCTTTAGCATCCATTGGTGGATAGCGATTATATAGCCAAAGCAAATGTTTCGATCTTGACTTTATCCAGCTGAGCGAGAATTAACAAATAAGTAGCGCTGATGATAGTATGGTGGATACGCTTCTATAATGTTCTCTTTAATTTTCCTTGCATATCGTCCGTCATTACAGATGCAAAAGGGTTCAGAACCCTGCTGCTCGATCAGTTTGCTCGTGACTAAGCTACCCAAAGTTTTGTTTTAATCGTATACTACCACATACCATCACATGTATTCCTTTATCCGCTAATGGTGCTCCAGGTCGAAGATGAGAGAATGCGTATAGCTTCTGACAGTTACAGAAATATACTGAGTAAAAATGATTTCAAACAACTATCCTATGACAATGTTTTGCAAAGAAACGAATCGACGGAATCAGTTCAGAATCAAGCCTCGCAATAAATATGGGTACACATCAATTTTAAAGTTATCAAAAAGTTGAATGCAAAAGCATTGTTAATTAACCACAACAACCATTAATTTATTTTTATGAAAGATTATTTAAGTTTATATATATATATATATATATACATGTATATATTGTTTCCATGCTTTTAATAAGACGAACATGGCTCGGATTTATCAAAATTTAATTTCCAAAAATTTCCGCCATAAACTTTTAAAAATGTGAATCGTGTTATGTAACAAGACCCAGCAAATTAGACCTACTTGCTCCATATTTTGCGCAATTAACTTTTGGGTCGAATAACTATTGGAGAGAAATTTACAACGCAAACTGTTTATATGGGAGAATGGTTCACATAATTAGTTCATCTTTACACTTACACCAATAAACAGAATGATTCTCAATCGATCGGTGGTATAATGAAAACGAAGATATTAAAAATCTCCAAATCCTTTTGCCTGTTATATGCATCCGCTTAAGTTTAACAAACGACGTATCGCAAGGGTGGAGGTGTGCTTTAAGTAATGGATTCACAACATTTTGTCTTTAGATTAACTTTTTATAACGATTATCCCTTGGAAATATTGCACAACGTGTTTCAATTGTTGTGTTGAGTTCAAAGTTTTGCCAAGCTTGAGAGCATGCCGTAAGAGTCGCATAACCTTTAATCTAACGCTAAAGTACTCTGGATAGAGTTGAAAATTTGCTATTCCTTTATGCTATGCTAAGGGATGAATGCGTTAACATTGAAGTATGTGCGTCAAAGAGCAAAGATTTTGACTTTGAACTTTAACCGGATTGTTATATAAAATGGAAAGAAAATTACGCATCTATGTGCTTTTTAATTGTTATTTGCAACAATAACAAGAACAGCCCGTTGTAAATAGTTTCTCTTAAAAGGGATATTACGATCTTTGATTTAAATTTCTTTGATGATACCATAGGCGGCACGTTAAAGTCGCAAGATGTGGCAGTGATTTGAGTATTTAAACAGAGAACATGTCCAAACCTATTCATTTCTAAGGAAAACGTTAAAGAATTTTGTATATATATATATATGCTTGAAAGAAATTACATAGGATGCTCCAAGATTAATATCAAACCGTTTGTGGCCGACTCGTTTTCAAAAATTATTATAAATCATTTAAGATAGCGGTTAACAACATTGCAATGACGAATTGAACTTTTTCCCTATATCTATATACATGTATGTATGTATATACATGTGCAGATAATAGCTTACTTTATTGTAATTGATGCATGATTGACTTTCCATTAGATATTCGATTTTATTGCAATGCAGATCCTTTGCAAAATTTGCATAAGGAATTAAATGGCCTGTATCCCTGAAAAGCTACCGCTTTAAACGAAACTTGACTTTATCCATCTTAAAAGCCCAACCTGAATAAATACAATTGAATATCTTTCCCCGTCAATTTACACCAAATACCAATCTATCTAATCAACTTTGTATAAGAGAAAGAGTTGTAAAGACTTATCTGTTATATTGATAACTAACTAATCTATAGAATCTAATTTGATTAAATGGAAGCCGTAATGTTAAGAAGGATACCAAGAGGTAAAAAAAGCAACAACTAAATAAGAAAACAAGTAAAAGCGCAATAGTGGGATTGCGCTCACTATTAAATACCTTACGCCCACTACGTTTAATGCAAATTATCCATACAAAAATAAGATGTTATGTTATGAGAAGCGGGCCGGACCGAATCATTTTCAATAGTGTTCCAAAGGATGCATCTAACCGTAGGTTGCATATAAGAAAACCCGACAGACGGACAAGCTTCGACAAAATGTTAGTCTATTTTAAATTCTTCTGAGTGTTGCGTACACCCGCACTAACTTAATATATGCTTATACCGCATGTGATGTAGGATATAATTATCCAAGTGTTGGATGGATAGATAATACGATCGATCAACTTAAATAAACATGTGTAAATATATATTATAGAAAGACTTCTTCTGCAAATCGTTGACATCAAAATGCGTAAACCGATGAGGACCCTGTTTGCATCAGCATTCTCGAACCATTATTGCAGTAAAGTCATAAATCTCAATAGTCAATTTTACACATTAACTGTGTTAACCGCCCAAGCCGTAAGAATTGCAAAAGTGTAACGCAGACGTGTGAATAGGTCGACTATTCGAAGTTAAACCAAAAAAATTGTAAATAATATACAAAGACCCCGACGCGTTTTGATTCGTGTTGCGAACAGGATGACAAATCAAGCATAATAAATATATATGAAATACAAAAAGGCAACTTTGTTAAAAAAATCTACTTCGTGAAGACAATAGAATCATTTGAGAAATCTATCTCAATAACAAAAAAAAAAATAAATAAAATCTAAGCAGCTTAATTCAAAATATTTTTTCACTTTTTCAGACAAACGAGAAACCGGCGCAACGATATAATTGCTTTTCGATTTTAACGCTTATGATAGACGTGAATAATTAAACGGATCTCAGAATTGAATAAGAAAAATTTCAATTATAACAACGAAGATGCTGGCCAACCAACTTCCAACTACTGCGGCAGCAACAACCACGAGCACAAATGCCAGTTTAATCGCTAATAGCGGTAGCAACGTAACCGCTAACGATGATAATGCAAACATTAAAATGGAGCGACGTGACTCTTCAACGTCCGAGTCGTCTTTGGAGCATTTGGATTTGGGAAGAACACCAAAAAAACGTAATACGGGCACATCGACACCCGTTATAACAAACGAAAGGAACATAGCGACCGATACGATGACAGTCGGTGTGTGTGCACAAATTCCAATGGGCCGCAACTTGCAGCAGCGTTTGCATGAGTCCGATGATGCTAATGATTACGATGACGACGAGTCGGCCGATGAGAAACACTTACGGTCATCTCAATTGCAGCCTCAACAGCAACAACAGCAACCACAACAGTCGCAGCGTCAATTTCATTACAAACGTCGTTCGAGTAGCCGTAATCTATTAGATAAACGTACAAGCGTGCAACTGGAGTTCAATAACGACAATCCAAGCTCGTTGCGGAAGAAATTTCGTTTCAACCGTAGCTCCTCGGACAATGTAACATGTTCTAATGAGTCTGGTTTTGTGGAAGGCAGTAGCAGTCAACTAATAAATAATTCAAACTCAGTTAATAACAGTAAGTCGAATACCTCATCGGCTTCTTCCACTCCCCCTCATAATGGACAAAATGGAATTTCTAGTCCTGAGTTAGGCGGTGGGGATCGCGAGGATATGAAATATGTTTGTCCCATTTGTGAAGTAGTATCAGCCACACCACATGAGTTTACTAATCACATTCGCTGCCACAATTATGCTTCAGGTGATACCGAGAATTTCACTTGTCGTATTTGCTCAAAGGTAGGTTTCATTTTCTCAAAGAAACTCAATTATCTCTCTTCTCAATTTTCGCATAAAATACTTATGCATCGCGTTCACTTAATTCTATTTTATTTGCTCAGGTACTCTCATCTGCCTCTTCATTGGATCGTCATGTACTCGTGCATACGGGAGAGAGGCCTTTTAATTGTAAATATTGCCATCTCACCTTTACAACGAACGGTAATATGCATCGTCATATGCGTACTCATAAGCAACATCAGCATACTCACCATCGACGCAACTCAAATGGTAGCAAGCACAACAACACTAATAATAACAATACAAGCAGTAGCAGTAACAATAACAATAATAATAATAATAATAATAATAATAATAATAATAATTCTATTAATTCCCATATATCAGCAGCTCCAAACATTGCTAGTACTACGATAAATACTACTAATGTGTCTTCATCTCCCTCATCCGCCCCGTATCATCTGTTAAGCAATGGACAGCTAACTGAAGGCTTCAAATTATCATCGGCAACCCTTAACAACAACAGTAAATCTAACAATAGTATTAATAGCAATAGTCATATAAATTCCAGCATTGCCTTGCCAACAGGTGTGAATGGAAATTTTTTAAACGGTATCGCAGCTGCAGAAAGTTACGAGAGCGATGGCGGTTGTTCATCAGATATATCCACCGCACATAGTCAGAGCTCTAATCACAATAATAACAGCAACAATAATAACGATATAAAAATTGATAACAACAACTACAAACGGAAACTGGAGGACAGTCAACTTCATATGGAAAATGTAAATGACGAACTAAAGCGTCGAATTAAAAGCATTATTAATAACAATGATTTAACCGCCGTGCCTGTCGCAACATCTAGAATATCTCACGATTCCGCCGTATTGGTGTGTCCAGTTTGTAATGAAAATGATTTTTCCAATGTTTTAGCTTTGGATAATCATATGGATCTTAAACATTCTGAGATACCAGCTAAGTGCAAAAATTGCGAAGTCATATTTCGCACACATTATCAACTTAACATTCATCCTTGCTCGGCGGAACGAAAAATACAATCGGATATCATAAATCAAATTTCTGAACCGGAAAACATGATCAATTCAGATAAAGTAGCCAATGACAATTCCACTGTGATTGCTGCGGACAACGAGGATGACTTAACAGAGAAAGATGAGCAGTTTAAACAAAAGGAATTTTTCCGGCAACTCTATTTGAAAAATGCTATGGGGAACGTATCGCCTTCACAAGTTCAGCACGCAACAAATGAAAATTTAGAGGATGACATTAAAGATTTAGCTGACATACAATCGATTTTAAATATGACATCATCGTCAAGCACTTCGAATTTTCTTAAAAATTTCGAACAAACTGTTAATACTCCATCTTCTCAGTGCAGTTACGACAAGGACGAGGAAGAAGCTCAAGATGCTTTTACGGCAGAGTTCAGAAAGATGAAATTGCGCGGCGAATTTCCCTGTAAACTCTGCACAGCAGTGTTCCCCAATTTAAGAGCTCTGAAAGGCCATAATCGCATTCATCTCACTGAAGCCGGCCCAACGGGCCCATTTCGTTGCAATATGTGTCCATATTCCATTTGCGATAAAGCAGCTTTAGTTCGGCACATGCGTACACATAATGGAGATCGACCCTATGAGTGCGCCGTATGTAATTACGCATTCACGACAAAAGCAAACTGCGAGCGGCATCTACGCAATCGCCATGCAAAAACTACACGTGAAGAGGTCAAACGTGCCATTATTTATCATCCGTCGGAAGATTCTTCTTGCGATGATCCAACTAAAAAATTGTACATGTTTTCTTCGCCTGAGTTTGACGATGATAGTGAGGTGTTTGCCTACCATCAGCATCAACCAAAAGACCGTTCCACTCCTGTCTCTCATTTAAAAGAAATACTCACTGCCAGTGAAATTCCTTCATCGAAACCAGTAAAAATTCAAGTAAAAAGTTTAGAACAATTACTGGACAAGTCCTCGTCTACTTCATCTGGCTATCACGATAATTATGATCTTAACAGCCGAAATGTGGAAACGGCAGCACCTATTGACATGACTATGGATGTATTGGACTTAAGCAAAAAGCAAACGAATATAATAGAGAAGGAAAGTGAAAACTTCAATCATCCCGAGCTATCTATTGCCGCTACACCTTCATCCGACGAACCAAAAAATTTATCTATAACCAATGGCTCAATTAACGTAGAGGACCCAAAATTAGAATTGTCTGCGTTAGAGAAGCAGCAACAACAATTGTATTTAGCTCAACAACAAATACTTTCTGATCCTACTCAGTATCTTCAGCAACTATATCGCAATCTTATATTTCCACAGTTAAATCCGTTCTTCTTACCGAATTCATTCTTACCCAATACGAATTTGAGCGATCTTCAAAAATTTGCTCCCTTTTTAAGTCGCATGTTCGGAGCAACAGGCATTCCTCCTCCAGTAATACCCACTAACAATGAAATGGAAAAGACTTCGCTTGCTGGACCATCGAATCCTGCAACACCTGCAACAATTTTGCCACAAGTTAGCCCATTAATATCTGACAAATCAAGTCCAATGTCAGTTAATTCGCTTTCATCGCCGAAGTCTATGCTGTCACCAAATGCGGCTTCCCTTTCTATGCCTAGACATCCACCGCCTCCGCCATCCCACTTGCCACCAGCGATGCTCTCAAATGGCCCAGTTAAGATGGTACTTAAAAATGGCGTATTTATGCCAAAACAAAAACAAAGGCGTTATCGTACAGAGCGGCCATTTGCTTGTGAGCATTGTTCGGCTCGGTTCACTTTACGTTCAAATATGGAACGTCACGTGAAACAACAGCACCCCCAGTTTTATGCTCAACGTCAACGTAGCGGTCACCATGTAATGCGTGGTCGGGCTGCGAATAACACTACGAGCATTAATAATATTACAAATCTTCAAGCAGCCTTCGCCCAAGCCCACCATGATTCGAATTCCGGCATAAGTTCACCCATTTCAGATCAAGTCAAGTACGCCATCTTAGCGCAACAGCTCAAAGCTCGTAAGGATACCGATTTATTACACCAAGCCCTGGCTCATGGTTCCAGCAGTGTAGCCAATAGTCAAATACTCTCTGCTAGTCTTAATAGTAATCACTCACCACTAAATTTTTCGCACATGAATGGTAATGGTACACCCAACGGTTCTATGGAAGACGATGAACCCAAGTTAATAATTGACGAAGATGAAGATGAGGAGGACGATGTAGAGGAAATTCTTGATGAGAACGAAAATGAAAACGACGATGACCTAATGCCAACAGAGGATGAAAGCTGTGTTAAAACTGTTTTACAGCAATCGGTGGTATCAATAAATAATGCTAAGTCTAAGCAAGAGGGATCTAAGGACGCAGCTAAAAAAGTAGCCGAATCAATACTTGAACAGGCGATCAAAGCAGGTCAAACTAATGCATCATTGATCAAACCTGACCCACCCATGGTACCTTCGGCTAATACAATGAATTCCATGATCGCACAAGCGCCTGCTGTAGGTAAATTTCTAAAAGAAGTTGCCAGTTCTCCGTTCAAAGATGAATCTCAAGATCTAGTACCAGTTTCCAAATTAGTTGATAATGCGACTTCTAACTCGATGTCCTTTAATAGTTACTTTCGTCCTAGCGATCTGGCAAATCATATGGAGCAAAGCGACGAAGAAGGCTTAGTCGCTTCTGGTAGTGCCAGTGAAAGCAACAATTCTGGTGCCGAAGATGTTGTAACGACAGTGCAGCCTAAAAAGAAATCTGCTTACAGTTTGGCCCCGAATCGTGTATCATGTCCTTATTGTCAGCGAATGTTTCCTTGGTCCAGCTCCCTTAGACGACATATTCTCACACATACCGGTCAAAAACCGTTCAAGTGCTCACACTGTCCACTTCTTTTCACAACCAAAAGCAATTGTGATCGCCACTTGTTACGTAAGCACGGCAACATTGAGTCTGCGACTTCGGTATATGTACCTACCGAGGATGTTACTGAGCCCATACCATTACCAAAGTCAGTCGAAGAAATTGAAAAAATGCAACGTCAACGTGAAGAAGAAGACCGCAAACGAAAAGCTGATGAGGCTCGGGAGCAGGAGCGCGAACGCATTGAAAAAGAGCAGCGTGATAAACATAAACAAGAACAGGAACAGCAGCAAGCTTTTTTCAAACAACTGGCTGCCGCCCAATTTCAACAGTATACTACAAAAACTGAATCCAGCCAATTTTCAACATCGGAGCTGCCGTTTAAGTGTCACCTCTGTGAGAGTTCATTTGCCGAGCGTACACAATGTCTAGAACACATAAAATGCATGCATGCTCAAGACTTTGCTTTATTGTTAGCCAAAGGTGCGATTGACAGTGATGTCGAAGCAGCCCAACACCTAAACTCTGCCGAAGATGAAGAACGTGTACGCATCAATGAAGAGAGCAGCAAAGGCGGCAAATACCCAGATTATAGTAATCGGAAGGTTATTTGCGCCTTTTGCATGAGACGTTTCTGGTCTACCGAAGACCTACGTCGTCACATGCGTACGCATTCAGGTGAAAGACCGTTCCAATGTGAAATTTGCTTAAGAAAGTTTACATTGAAACATAGTATGCTGCGTCACATGAAAAAACATAATGGCCTGCATACCAGCGGTAATCAATCGGGCGGTGACTTATCAGCTAACGGCAATAGTGGTTCAGATTATTCTGATGACGAACAAACGCCAGTAGCCGCGGCACTAACAACTACTCAACAGTCAACACAACCAAATATCAGTGCCTTGTTCATGGGCTCAAAAATTCAGGAGTTACTTAATAAAGCTAATGAATGGCGAACGAGTGGCTTAAATACATTGGGAGACCATAAGGAAAATATTGCAGAAGAGAGTAATAATGGTCAACAATCTGATTTAATAGGCAATTTACTTGGCATTAGTGATCAGGGCATACTTAATAAGTTGATGTCATCGCCCGATGAGGCAGCCAAACTATTAGGAGTTGAAAAATGAATTTCCAACTTAATATAAAAACTCTCAGCTTCTAGTCAAGCTCCTAAATATTCAAATGTTTATATATTTTTGGTCTCTTCTGCGTTCCACTTGGCAGATAATAAGGCTACTATTTGCCAATACCCAAATTTATTGCACATTTCATGCTAAGATATTTTTTAAATAAATTTTTAAAAACTTTAAATTAAAGTTTTATAAACGCTAACAATTCCAACAAAAAGACAAGATTTAAACCAAAGCATTTTTTTTTTCAATTTATTGTATATTTTTTTATTTTTTTTCTTTTATATATATATATATATGTAATATTTTAAGATTAGTTTAGAGAAAAAAGAGTGCTTGTGAACAAAACGTAAAGAATTTTTAACAGGATAACAAGGATCGAGGAAGCTATGTAAACATATTGTCAAAATAAATAAAAAGAATACAAGAAAGTTAGTACACTATTTTTCACTTAACGACATCCGCCTGCGCCTACAAACAAATGCTTTGCAACTGCAATAATTTTGTCTCGAGCTGGTATATAATGAAACAGATCTACTAATCATTTAGAATTTTTAAGCTCATTCGGTAAAGAATTGTATAAAACCAAGGTACATATATATATAATTATCCCACGTAAATTAAACGTCAAGTATTTCAAAAATTTACTTATTAAGTTAACGGAATAATTCAGTCTGATAATCTCCTAATAGATAGGATGTTTGGAAAATTATGCACATGTATGCTCTTCACACCAATGCTGGCTAGATGATTAAGTCAAATGCTGATTTAGATGAAACAGTATAAAATCGGGCAAGTAATCAAATCATTCAGCTGCTAATCACAGCAGCCACAGTATTCAATTCTTACAATCTTAATAAAATATTATTGATAAAATAGTAATGAAAAGCTATCGTTTATATATATGCAAAAGACTTCTCAAACTGTTTTCATCTATTTGCTCGATAAGATAAGTGAAAAGTACTGTACTGAATAGTATTCAATTTTGATATTTTTTATTGGGAAGATCCGAACCATATATGAATATATCTCATATATAAAAATATATATCTATAAAACTAAATATATATATATATAAATAAAGACTTTCTATACCAATGTACTTAAACTATGAATGAATGCCTTTAATAAAGAACTACTTAAATGTTCGTTAAACTACCCCTGTCCCCCTTTAGGCCTTAGATGATTAAATAAGTAAATAAAAAAAAAAAATTAAATAAATAAATAATTATTAATAAATAGTTAATATTTTAATAAAATATAGCTGTAAACCTTATCTTAAATAATATAGTTTAATTACAAATAAAAAATAATAATAATAATAATATTAATAATAATAATTTATGTACAAGTATTTTGTAGATTTACATGATGAGGCCTTTGATTACCATTATGTGGCTTAAACGTAGTGACATGAGTTGCCTAAGCGTATACAAATGTTCTAGGACTATATATGTATGTAAAATGCATATTAAAATAACGACATAATCATATAAATTTATGTATGTAATTTTGTAATTTTTAAGAATTTTTTTTTTTTTTAGATTTTTATTATTATCATTGTTGTCTTTTATGTACAACAATATAATAAAAAATCTATCATTATTTTCGGTTAGTAAACCGAATATTTTGAAGTCCACCACCAAAAATGTGTGTCTATCCGAGGAGCCAATTGTCTTAAAAATATAAAAAACCATCTTCATCTCTTATTTTAATAAAATTTAAACCGACGAGTACATGTATTTATGTATATGTTGTGAAAGTATTTTTTTTTTGTTTTTTTTTTTTTTTTATATAAAATTATTTATATATACTTTTTATTTAGAAAGTGTAAATCGATGTCAACATTCATTCGATAGCTTGTACGGTGTAGCTTATTTTGAAAGCAATATTTTGAAATTTAATTTTCTCCTCTCGCTATTATCAATCTAAGAGTGTATGTGCCAATTATCAGCTTTCCATCTTAATAGACGTAAAAAAAAGAAAGAATTGCGAATAAACGGGAAACAGAAAGAAAAAAAAGCACAGGATTTGGTTGTATATCTTGAAAAAATCTTCACCTAATCGCAAGGAAGGATATATATATATATATATATATATAAAAAAATAAAATTATATATATATATATATATATATATATATTAGATGGGATAGTTGGTCTTTATTTTTGCATCTAACGAAATCATCAATTTAACTGTAATTCTGTCTTTATATAATTGATAAAAAAAAAAAAAACAGAAAAGTTCTAATTAGTTCATTATTGGTTGTCTACGAGAAGGGAATAAAATATGCTGGCGATAGTGATAGCAGTGTGGTGGTCTTAAAATATATAACAAAACAAAATTATACAGCAATAACCAAAGCATTTTTAATAAATTTTTTTTCTCCCTCTATCTATATCTCCCTCTCTATCTATCTATCTTTCTATCTCTCTATCTCTCTCTCTCTCTGTTCTCTATTCTCCTCTATTATGAATTTGTATTTCTGCTATAAATGTGTATTTGTGAAACGTAAATATAAAAATTTATATAAAAAATACTTTACATCCTATGTATGTATGTATCTAGTTATAATTAATAAAATTGCAACAGGCCGAAAATTAAATTAGAAATTTTAGAATTAAATTCACTTTCATTTATCAAAAAGAAAAACGTATAAATCAATAAATATTCCAATAGTATCAATTAAGAATTTTTCTGGCGCTTTTTTTTTTTTTTTTTTTTTTGTTATTTTTTCTCCATTAGATTTTACAAATCGGAAGAATGCATTGCAATGCTTGCAATGAATATTACGATTACGCTAATTGGAGGATAATTTTGCATATATTCATGATATTGATATGAAAATTAGATGATCTGACGATAGGATTTTGCGTCGATATGACCGTCTCATAGGATTGATTAATTAACGTTCCACACTTAATGTCGAAAAGTAAAAGCAAATTTTTAAAAAAATTTACACATTTTATAGATTTACGACAGACTTACGACTCCCCTCAAACTTATATAGCCACGATAACTTTAGATGTTGTTAATTAAACTTTAATCATATAATGCAGTAAATATATGTAAAATCTATATGTTTACGCTTTTTATCCAAAGACACTTTCTCTTTGAAAATCCTTTCATTTGACCGGTAAGTTTTTGTGAATCGTCATAATCGCAAAGATGTAAATATGAAACTGAAATTTGACCCAAAAAAATTCCTTGATCGATTAGGAAGACAAGATTAGAAATACGATATCTTTTAAGAAACTAAAACCATCTTGGAAAACGCGGACAAGTTTTTTAAATTTTCATCTTTCAACTTTTGATCCCGCGAATGTAATTTGCGAAAAAGCACTACCTAAATATTCGTCAAAAACACCTACATGTGTGCGGTATAAAAATGGTCTCGATCGATTTCCTAATACGTTTTAATTTCACCTTATTTCCCATTTATTCTAATGGACATTGGATCGAATTTTATTGTTATTTGCGGAGATGTTAGTAAAGCGATTGACACCATTTTTAGACTGAACATGAAAATAGTTCTACTAAATATCTGAGTCATAGCAAAATAGCTTCGTGGGATCGGAAGTTGTAAACGAAAATATCAAAAAAATTGTCGGTGTTTATGGGGATTATTTTAGTCTCCTCTATATTGAGGCTTTGCCTGTTAACAAATCGCGCCCATTTTTCAACCTCATACCCTTAATCGATCAAATTTCAATCGTCTATCTCCATTTTCGCCACTTTGACGATTCACAAAATTGTAAATAATAAGAACTTATATGGACTTCTTCGCAATTGTGTCCCAGGCAATTGGTTAGTCCCTGCAGCACATTTCAATTGAGTATAACGATTGCATGTTTCCAACTTTTTTGGGGATAATATTCAAATTGATTAATCTACAGTTTAATTAAACATATCTTTTAAGACGAACACCATATTTAAATTCACCCATTATTCAAAAATATGATCTCGGTACCTAGTAACTTACCAAGAACATACTCTAGTTCATTTTTATATTCACTTTAAAGTATTTGCTTATAGCCGTACGTTGAACAACATCACAGTGCCGTCACAAGCCAGAAGGCGTTTTTTTCTATGTGTTTTACGGGACTTAATAATTCTATTTTATATAAAAACATTACTTACATTAGTATTTCTTCGGAGTACAAAAATTGATGAACAATCAAAACAACTACACCAAAAACACATTGTTTTCCTTTATAACTGATAACCGATATCCCCTTAAATACCTCCAAATATACCCTGTCCAAGCTAGGTTCTTAAGGTGTAATTTAGCTGCTAATCATTGACATTATTTACCTCGAACCTTGAAAAATCGCGATCTGAAAGTTTTCCTTAGTGCAGAAATTAGCAAAAGCGATCGCAGATCGACTTGCCAAGCAGTTTTAGTTTAAAATGCCAAGTTTATAATATTAAATGTGCAAATATATCACTTAAAATATAGGACTGCAAGGAGATCAAATTTTTTTTAAATAACTTGAATGTGCATTGCAAAAAAAAAAAAAACAAAGAGAAGTCTATTCAATAATTCTCCCAAAAAATTTCGAGAATATAAAAAACAAAACCCCTTTCTCCCAACAAACCCATTTTCCACACAAGAAGAAGAACACTTACTTTTTCTGCAAAAACTCTTCTCTCTACAAACAAAACCACTTTCTCCCAACAAACCCATTTCCCACACAAGAAGAAGAACACTTACTTTTTCTGCAAAAAATCTTCTCTCTACTCAAAGAAGGACTTATTCTTCATCCAGATGAGAACTTTCTCTTTCGATTCCTACGTGGAGGAAGAAGACACTGTGATATAACCTATTGCGTCCACCATACATACATACATGCATACATACATATGTATGTATATATACTTTTATATAATTAATAAATGTGGTCGCGCCTGCCAAACGTTAACGGGTAAATATAAATCGCTTTTGCATCATTTAGATTTCATAAAATACCTACGGAATTTTCAACGTTGAATGTTAGCGAATAAGGAAAAATAATACTAATTTGTGCCGTATTTATACGTAATTTTACAACCATGTACATATGACATGTTTTTATAAGATTTGTGAAGGAAATAGAAATATATAGAGAACGTTTTTGCCGGTAAACAAAAAAGAATTTATCGCCCAGGAATTCAACCATCTGATGCTGAAAGGTGGTTTTCAAATTAAACAAGTGGCTAAGTACTTCTGCACTATGACCACTGGAGTATCATTATCACGGATAATTTCATTACTAGAAGCATTTGCACCCATCAAATACGCCGAAAGTTGGGACAATGTTGGCCTGCTTATAGAGCCGTACCGTAAACCATTGTAAGTTTCAAAATTCACACTAAATTCGCTCAAAGTCTTAGTACATTGTTTCGCAATTCAGGAATGTAAACAAAATCCTACTGACCAATGACTTAACGGAACCGGTGATGCAGGAAGCAATTGAAAAATCAACTAATATGATAATAGCTTATCATCCCCCGATCTTTGCACCTTTAAAACGAATCATACAAACGTAAGTAATGAAACTATTTCCAATTATTTATTTTCTAATTGGATGGTATTTCATGAAAAGGCAGCGATTGGAAACAACGGATTGTGTCAATGTGTTTAGCAGAATCGATTGCCGTTTATTCGCCACACACAGCTTGGGACGTAGTACCAGGTGGAGTCAATGAGTGGCTTGCTCGTGCTCTACCGTATGAAAATATGACACCTATTAGGGTAAGGTTACCAAAACGATCAATTATTTTCTCTTCGTTACCCGAACAAATATTAATATTCCAACGGTTAAATTTAATATTCTTGTATTAGTTAGAGTTGTGATCGGCTTTATTCAATTTAATGTTAATCGATATAATATAACGAGTAAAGCGAAAAGCAGAGGTTTAGTCACGATACATGTGAATGAGGAAATTCGTAAAGGTATCAATTTCAATCATAAAAAAGTAATCAAGATCTTAGAAAGGTATGGTAAGAACCTCAATGCCATCTATACACTTAATACTACAAATTTGTATTGCCAAACATATTCCATATTTTGAGACAATTATTATTTTTGTTTACTTTTAAGGAGAATAATAAAACAACGTTTTCCGGACTACTATCACGTAAAAAATTAATGCAATAATCTCTATTGCAAAATAGCTTCAATTTCATGATCTTTCATTTCATCCATTTGTGGTTTTTTTTCAACTTCGTATTCATTGCCACAACTGTACATCTTACGGCAAATATAAATCAATAGTAGTGGCAATGGTGTCATCAACGAGTTCGCCACTGGCACAGCATTTGTGATATCTGCTAGTGGTTGTTCAAGAGTAAAGTTAACCATAAATATTGCAATACCAGTATTTTGTATGCCTGTCTCGATAGCTATTGTTAAACAATCCTTTGATGATTGCTTGCATAGTTTCGCCATTACCCAACCTATTGCATAGCCAATCCATGGTAATGCACTGCTGGCAAAAATTATCTGTAAATTATACCAATTAATTGTTACATTAAAGAGAATTGCCAAGATATTCGTTTACCTTCCACGAGAACAATTTAAACATAAATGTGTTGACAGCAAAAGCGAAAATTATGATTGAAATCATCAGAATTAATGAAATAGGCTTCAAAAATCGAGTCATTCTTTTACTTATCAAAGGAGAACATTTCTGCAACACTGCGCCAATAGTTAGGGGTAACAGCAGCGAAAATGATAGATAGGCAATTGTTTTATAAGGCACATCCAGATTACCATCTTTAAAAATCAGAACGCCTAATGTAAAAATCCATATCGGCATCATGCCAAAAGCTGCCAAATTACTTATTGCCGTCATTGCAACTGAAAGGTTTAAATTACCGTCTAAAAGGACGGTAAGTACATTGGAAACCCCGCCACCCGGTGTTGTGCCGATAAGAAATAGACCCAAGCGTAATGCAATCATATCGGGAAACAGAAAATAACCAATCAAATAACTAAGTACAGGCATAATTAAATACTGGCCAATGAAACCAATGGCGGGGCCCACTGGTTTAACCAAAATATGCTTTAAATCAATCAAATCCAAAGCAGCCCCATAACTTATATATATCACTGAAACGAATGCACCAACAATAGCTTTGAATACAATGTCTGAAGCACCCACATTACGTAAGACTGTAACGCGAACGAATTCACGGGCGCGCTCAACTTTCATATGAGGACGATATAGGTCTACGTGCACCATTGCATGGCCAAGAAATATGGCGTCAATCGTAAAATTGTGCTTCCACTGTGTAAGATTCTGTGCAATGTTTGAACCAAATATTTTACGATTTTCGATTTTTATCAAATCTTTGCGCGTGGGCAATATATGAAATTCATAATTGTTGTTCCAAGCAGGATCTATGTTGTTTATCGTTAATTCTATAGTCTTCGTTTGAGACATAGTAATATTTAGCAATTGCGGCTCAAATATTACTGACCAAAGTGTTTGGGTAGTTTTTGGATTGATTGAAGCAATTGATAGAGCCGTTGTTTCTATAGCTAACAACTTTTTCATGAGACAGAACACGATTAACGCAAAAAAACTATTATCTAAAAACATTGTCTGCTTCTTTGTAAGAGAATTCAAAGAGCAACAAAATTTTCTAAATAAAATTTATTAGGATTTTTTTATTTCAAATTCAAAAATCTGCGCAAAATTATACCGAATAATATCACAAATTTGAACCGTTCAGTGCAATATCCATTTCCTTTTATTTTTATGCATTAAATTTTTTTTAAAATCCGATATCTTCTTTAATTGTGAACATTTTCAATCGATTCGTCAATATTTTTTTTTATCTCTTATATTCCGACCACTACGATCGACTGTCTATAAAAGTACAGCAAAAATATGCACGATATAAGAGCTATTGGCAGTTAAATACCAACGAAATCTTGAAAAAATTCTTGCTAAAATTTATTTATTAATCTTAATTGAAAGCTTACAAAATAGTACGTATTTTCAAATAAGTTAAGCAATTTGATTGAATTGAAGCGAAAAGTCAAGTTTAAATACATTTACAAGCACATCGCTGATACGTTCTAGTTGCGGAACCGAACACTAATCTCATACACTGAACTAAAAATGCATTTATTTATTTTTAATACAGTTTCGGAATAATATTGAACATATTTCGTCATAATGCACTAAGATTTTAAGATTGTTATAAAACCAAACCCGACTCAAAATGCCTGACAGAATAACGGAAAACATTTGATTTAATTCTTAAAAGTACTATACGACTTGGCTGTACCTGGTAAATTTGAAGGGTAAAGTAGTAAAAATTCACCACTATGCTGATATCTTACGTATCAATATAACTATTGTAAAAAAAAAAAGAAAAAAAATTTTTGAGATCAAAAAAATGTAAAGTTTTTTCCCTGAATTTATATTTACTTAGGCCGAAAGGAAGAGTGCAAGCCACCTGTAGGAATGAGGAAACATTTTCAGCTATTTGGTTGCTCTTGTAAATTAAGCGAACATTACATCCACAAAAGGTTTTCTTTGAAAATAAAAGTACAGACATCTATGTAAAGCAATCGGCGATAGGACAAACCTTATTCTTGCAATAACACATTTTTATCTATTCTTAAAATATTTAAACTGTAAAGTTGACATGGAAAATATTCCAAGTATATTTTTAGCTAATTGCTAGAAATATAGTCTAAAAATAAACATTGTTCACCTACCTATAGAAGATAAAAGCGGATATTTATATATATATATCTGTTATAAACGATTGTGTTAACATATCACAGTTGGTATCAACATAAAATGTGACTGTGGAAGCATTTTTAGATCCCGTTAGCAAATAGTTTTCAGATGTTTGGCTCAAATCGTGAGTTATCAAAATTCACCCAAAATCGGTTGTAGTACTATTACAAAGTTGACAGTATGATAAAAACAATATATATATATATTAAAAAGCAGCTACCGTTCGCGTGATGAAAAAAGCCATTAAATTACAATCGTAAAAATTTCGTATAAACATTAGCGCGTTTTTGTTTTTGTATTTCATAAAAGAGACATCGATTCTGCTTTGTTATCTATTTCATAGTCCAAATTCTGATCAATTTCAAGGTTTTAGTATTTAGTAAGATATTCGCATTATAAGCAACACTTTACTTCTGTATCCTTTTCCAATATCCATAAATGTAGTTAAACCAATGGTCAAATTTCATATTATATTACATTTATATATTTTGATTTATGTTCTAAATAAATCGTTACGCAATGTCTAATAAGATAACAATTTTATGTTAACTTGACATATGTCAATATGTATAGAGTCTTCAAACTTCAATTTCAATATTAAAGATAAATCGGCGAATCGAATACTTACTTTCACTTCCGATAGGAATAGTAGTTCATGGAGTTCTTCTATCAAAATTTAAACTTCATTAAGTACGTGTATGTGGCATCTTGATCGATAATTTTTTGCAATTTGCCAATGCAAAGCTGTAGCATATAATACTTAATATAAATGCATAGGATGGCTACTAACGAGTCCCTATAATTTTCAAATAATGCTTACTGCCAAACGAAACCACTAGTTTGCGTGTTATAGTTGTTTTAGTGACATCACTTTTGTGATTCGTATGAATCCGTGAATAGTGGCGACACATATATGTTATCCTACGAACTTATTGAATGCTCTGTTAAATATGTAAATATTGATTGGCTTCTTTTGAAGTCACACTCTCTTACAAGAGTTCTGCAGATAAAGAAACAAATGGCATTCAAGCTCTTTCACATTTTTTCCGAGCCATTAAAGATTCGTATAATCTGCCATTGTTATGATGGAACAGAACACGCTTTCTATTGTTCAGTTGTGAACGATTCGAACGTTCGACGGTATTAAACTAACTCACCATATATCATTTCATTTCAATCTGACGTGACCGCATCTTAGTCACCTCACTTTTTCACATACGATTCTCATTTTTGAACCGATTCGCAACGCCAGTTATCAAAATCTCTTAAAAAATGATCCGATTTCCTTTGTTTCCTTAACCATTCAGAAATAGATATTCTGGCCATTAAATTGTTAACAATTAATTCTTGTTCGAGGCTATAATCTTATGCAAATAATAATTTCCCGATTCTCCCCCTAAAATTTTTTAAAAGATTTGATCGATTTTACAAGGACTTTGTAATTTTTAGAGCCCAATGAAGGAATTCATTTACAGATTGCTTCCTTTGATAATAAATCTTAACTATAAAGTGCGCGAATCTGTACCCAAGTCTGAGGGGCGTTATCGCATTAATAGCGAAATTGCAATATATATAGCATATGTTTTTTAAATGTTCACTAACATTCCAAAATCGAATTACTTGAGACTAAAGTAGCAAATGTCATAATGTTAGTTTTTTTCTTAATCATTTCTTCCCAACCCTACGAACCAATATTTTATCCAATATAAACGTAATATATATATATGTAGGTAGGTGTATAGGTAGTCTTATAAATTGTTACTTTGAAGTAAATACAAAACGACATATAATATCGATATGATATTGTATACCCTTCACACACAAGGATATATTAAGTTTATGCGGATGCAAGAAATAGATAGAAAAACATGAGATAGACCCAACTTTTGTTATACCGAGCGATTTAGAATCACTTTCTGTAGTGGGCCGTGGCACACTTTCAATTCATATCCGCATTTTCGGAACTTGGACGACTATTGATTTTTTCTCTCAATAACGCGATCACGTCAGGAGATGTATGACAGGTAGCTGTCTGCAACATTCTCCATTAACGTTGATTGCAATGTCATTTTCATTTTCAAAGATGACATTTTCGGATCATAAAACACATAAAAGACTTTCAGAGAGAGTTTGTGGCGTTTTGTCGTCTACCCCAACTGTGTGATAGTGCAAGTGTATATTAAGTTTGTGGGGATGTATTCAACAGCCCAGGGAGATTTAAGATAGACCCACCTTTTATTATGTCGATCGATACAAAATTATTTTCTGAATCAATCCAAGCTTGTCTGTCTCTCTGTCTGTCTGTCTATCTGTCTTGTTTTCTTATGTTCAGCCTAAATGCCGCAATTTATTTGAGATATTTTGATGAAATTTAATACACTCAGGTGCTTTTGTCCAAGGACGAACGCTTGACCACTTCCCATCATCAGTTTCGTAATAAGTTTTTACCATTTTCTATATGCTGTTTTTAAAAAGAAAAGCTTGCTAATATTTTCTTTTCATAATTTTGCAGCTCTTATCGAATTGCTCCGAACCAAATGTCGGACTTGGTCGTATATTCTCGACCAGTCTTACGTTAAAAGAAGCTATAGCAGCCGTACAACTGCACATTGGTCTCGATGTACACGTGGCTTTCGGTAATCGACATACATTGAAAACTAAAATTATTACCGTCGCCGTGTGTGCGGGATCAGGTTCTTCATTGCTGAGAGGTGTCAAAGCGGATTTGTATATAACCGGCGAAATGTCACATCATGAATTAATTGAAGCCAACCAAAACAATGTATCGGTCATATTGTGTAATCATAGCAATTCTGAAAGAGGTTTTCTTAAAAGCTTTCAACCTAAATTGCAAGAGACCTTGAAAAATGACTGCGAAATCATCATTTCCGATAAGGATGCTGATCCTTTAGTAACATTTCACAAAGCTGAATCAAAATGTCAAATTGAAATATCGTGAAGTCATAAAAATTGTTAAGCGTTTTTCAAAAAGCAAATTCAATTTAAATATGCAAGATGCATTTATCCAATAAATTCATTCAAATCTACAACGGGAACATTTGATAGAACTTTGCTTTATAAAAGCAAAGTATTTGTAAAGTGTTTACCGATAATGGCAATAGAAGACTTAACCTCAATTTCAATACAGCGGAAAGTCAAAGTTATCATTACGCATGCATTCATCCACATGTACTTGTTCAATAGCAAAAAAAAATAAAAATTCAACAAGGATCAAAGGATAAACTGTGGTACCATGCTTCAAATAAAATCTAATCTAAATCTATTTTATTTGGGTTAAAATTGTGACATTTGCGTAATGGAATTGTTCACGTTCGTTGAATTCGCGGATTTTGAAATACGAGTTAAGAACTTCGCTTCAAATATTAATAACCTTTTTAGCTAATAAAATTTACTTAAAGAAGAAAACGTGAAAGAGTTGTAGTGGGCTACGGCCCACCGTTAAATACCTTACGCGACTTACTATTATTCTAATGCTCGGGTTAAAGTAGAAGCCGATGTCTTCATGTTTGCAATCAAGCGCATGCTTACACAGCCATCCCACAGACAGACGGACAGGGATGCTTAACACATTGCTGATCAAAAATATATATACACTTTATGTGAATTCTGAAGCTCCCCTCGGAATGTTGCAAAAATTTTCACAAATATCCTTCCCTTCGATGGTGGGTATGAAAATGAGACGGTTGACATGTATATATTTATAGATTTTCGCTTCAATGCGATTTTAATAGAGTAAACTTCAACTCTAATCCCCTGAGCAAAACAGAAAAAAACCACCAACAGAAAATACGAAATAAGATCAAATTCATTCTGAGATTAAAAAGTCGATAGCGAATGGACATTAAGACTCTTCTGCACCGCCCAAGGATATATGTATATATTTAGTGCTTACATAACATCATACATTCCTTTATTTTTCACTTCAACCAAATAATTTCTCTCTTTTAACCCATTAACTGTATATGACGAATACAAATGTCATGATCCGTCCATCTTTCCTTGTCGGATTTCCTCATCAAGTTAAATCATTATGAATGTGTATTTGCCATAATAGAGTATCTTAGATAGCGCGTATGTCATTTGATCAAGTTACTTCATTGCAATCTAATTTCGTATTACGTATATTTCAGTTTATGTATGACGAGTACGCTCGCCATAGGCGAAATTCTGCAACGCAAATTAAATGCACATTTTCCAAAGATGTTAATACAACTGATTAAGTAGAAGCTCGAGTGTGAGTCGATATTTAAAATAAAATTTTGAACACATGAAAGCAAGGGAACGGATATTTTCGATACATTTCGGTTTTCTTATTTCCGAAAATGCAAATTTCAATTGGCTTTAAGTAAGCAGCACGAGAATGTGTACCAAAAATAGTATGCAATGGTATTAGTTACGAAATCGCTTTTCATTTTGATCTGCTGAGCTCATTCAAATCAATGTGAATCGGACTGCGATCGAAATTCAACGACTACAAAACTCGAACAAATGCTTTAACAACGATGCAATATTTGATGACCTCATCAATGCGTATATGTGTGTCCTGCTGCAATATCCTGTAGGTGCAAATAATAGGCATTTATAGACAGTTCAATAATATCAGCTTCTATATTTTGAAATGAAAACAAATCTTTTGATTAAGATTTATTCAAAAGAATATAAAATACTTTAGCGATAATATAATCAAACAAAATATAAAACTTAAAGAGAAAAATAAACTACTAATGCAAAACATAAAAAAAAAAAGAAAAAAAAAAAAACAAACAAACAATATCGATAGCCATGATTTTATATATATAAATGCATTTTTTTACTTAAGAAAACGAAAAAAAAAAAAAATTTAAATATGAAAAAGAAAAACCAATGAAACGACAGACACAGATTGTAATAAATTACATAAAAAAAAAAAAAAAAATGTTCTAAAAATTGATCAAAACCGACCGAAGTAGTTTAGATGGATTGGAAAGTTTAGTTCAGTTTATTTTTCAGCTTTCTATGACTTTGTAATTGACTTTTCTCAGGCGGTATTTTTTTGCAATTTTTGTAAAACTTTAATACCCTGCTCCTGATATTCTTGTTTGGACATCCAATAAGCGTCGCGATCTTTTGTAACCTCAGCTAGAACTGCACCCCCGATAAACACCATATCCTTCCGTCGAGGAGGATCTTCAATACGAATTTTAAATTTCTATAAATAAAAATAATATTAATATAATTAGTGGAATTCATTTCTATTTATGATGATTTATCGTATACCTCCAATTTATCGCTATCGTTTTTTAGTACACGTTCTAAATATAATTGTTTAATTTCCCTTTCTAAACGACTTGGTAGACCTGGATACATGGTGGAGCCGCCTGATAATACTATATGTTTGTACAATTCGGGCCGCATATCTATATCGGCTGCCTGTATCGTGTTAAACACTAATTCGGCTATGCCTTGACCCTCCACATTGATAAGATGCGGTTGGAATAAGGCTTCAGGAGCTTCAAAACGTTCACCGCCCACTTTTATTACACGTCCATCAGGCAATGTATAAGATTCTACTAGCACTGTCGTTTCCAAAGCTAGTCTCTGTTCCATTTCAATATTGTAACCAATGTAACAAAGTTTCTCTTTCATCATGCGGACAGTTTCAAAATCTGCGGAATGATTAAAAGCGTAGCCACGCAGCAGTAATAACTGTAGTAGAATTGAATCTTATAATAATAAAAAAAAGAAAATACAAGCAAGAAAAGCATATTCACCTTAATTAAATATCTCGTTATATCACGGCCGGCAATATCCAATCGCCGCGTTAAATGTGGCAAAGCAAATTCTTCATAAACAGGACATATATGCGTTACACCATCACCGGAATCAATCACCACGCCCGATATTAGACCTTGCGCATATAATGTCAACATGGCTTGTATCGCAATATAAGTTGAATCGAAGCCATATTTCTCAAACATAATCTAATGCATTTTATATGGGAACTCAAATCATTATTTATTTATTTCAAGTTTCTACTCATCAATCTCTAAGTACCTCAATCATTTTCTCACGATTTTTTAAGGGATTCATTGGTGCTTCCGTTAGCAATATTTTAGAATTTGTTGGATCGATATTCATTTTCTTGGGCCCGAATGTATAATCCCACACGTGGCACATATCTTCCCAATTTCGCACCACACCGTTTTCCATGGGATATGATACCTCAAGCAATGAACGCAATTGTGAAGCTTCATCGCCAACCATCAAATCCTGTAATAGCGTTTTTTTTTTTTTTGTTCTTTTTCTTTTTTTTTTCTCTTTTCTTTATTTTTTTTTTTGGGCCCCCGCCCCCCCGACATAAAATATTTTTGACTGTTGTTGAGATCGTTGAAATAATTGATCTGTTAGGTCTTTTAGGAAATTAAAACCCCATCAAAATTACAACAAGTAATAAAAACAACAACAGCAATGATTTCGTATGTGCAAGAAGAAAAATTGATTTTAATTTTTTTTGCAATGATAAAGAATTTTTCGTTCGCAAAAATCTGCATCTGTATATGAATTAGCAAATAAAACGAACCATTCATTGAGCTTCGATGTGAATAGTAAACAACCTTATAAAGTATTGGAATAGTCGAAAAAGTCATGACACAAATTTTGTTTTTTGTTTCAGTTTCAAGCCACCTATTTCCTATTAATCTACTCAGTTCTCAACACTTTCACGTAACAACATCCAATGAAGTTCGCCAAAATTATAAGATATAATTATAAGAAATCGCTTCTAATTGATATGCAAGCGTTTATAGAGCATTAGCACGACATTTATTGATGATACTCCGCTTGATTAGTTGAATGAGTTACTAATTGCCATTACCCGTTCAATGTTCGCGGATGCAAACTTCAATTCTGTAGAGTTTTCATCGCTCGTAGCTGCAATGTATGCTCAGTTGGTAAAGGCATAACACTTATGGCTTGATCATATACGCCTTAGGCTGTCTTCAATCACCTTCCTATCTCTCTCTCTCTATTTCCTTGGACAGACATGGATAAATCAACTCAGAATTTCACTCTGATCAATATCTTACAGTGATGGATACAATAATAATTATTAATGACAATACAAGTCATATAATAATAATCGTTGCTATAATTAAGATTGATGTGCCAATACGACTGTAGACTCTCTTATGAAACGATTGCAAACCCAGTAATATCGTATATGAATGCCATAACTGTAATACATTATACAATGTGCAAGCCAAGCATAGATGCGGTATAGATAGATTAAAGGGCCTAACAATCATTTCGATAGTGAGCTTTGATAGTAATAGTGTTAATAAAAAATAGTCTTAAAATTGATAAATGTTTATGGTCAGGCAGGATTAGATACATTGGCCGAATAGAATTTTTCTCATATAAATATTCTGGCGACAGCGTATAAGCTTGTTCAAGAAATACTTTGGATATTAAGGTACGTGGAAAGAGCGGAATCAAAGATCTTAAGCTTTTGGAAGCTTTATGGTGATGCTGTTCCGCTATATCCCAATTGGCGGTTTTGATTTCAAGGGTTTAAATACGGTGACTTTGATCTCCATAGAAAAGAACATCTCGGATGATCAAAAAAGTTCGAAGACTTGTTAGACGAACAGCTTACCAGTTGATGAATCAGCCGGAAAGATCCAAAAGGAGGGAAAATGGCTGCCATACGAATTGGCTGAAAATGCCAATTCGAACCATTTCACGTCGCGGTTCCATTGCGTGCCAGACAAAAAAAGACGAGATTTCTGTAGCGTATTGTGACTGACGATGCTTTCATAGTCCATCATCTTTGTAAGGGTCTACCACGACAATTTCTATCCCAAAAAGTCAATTAGTCCAGGAGACCCGTGCGCATCGATACCGAACCGAACCATACAGTTTTGTCGTGCATATGGTGGGATCAACAAAGTATAATGTATTACGAGCTGCTATAACTGAATGAAACTGTTACTGTAGATGTCTGGAAGGCGGTTACCAGACGCATAATCATCCTCTTGCATGACAAAGTTCAGCCACACGTTGCAAGAGTTGTCAAGAATACATCGTGACTACTCGAATGGGGCGTTCTTATATAGGTAGCGTATTCAACAAACAGAGCGCGTTCTGACTACCACTTATTCAAATCGATGCACCATGCCTTGATTGGGTTTAATGATTGGATCGCTGCCAAACTAATAACCGTTCTTTCGACACGGTACCGCCATGGTGCCAGAGAAATGGGCAAAAAATTGTAGAAAATGATGGAAAATATTTTCTTTGATATATATTATATAAAAATGATCAAAGTACATGCAAGCACCTAATAATAATAATACGGCGCCATAAGCCGCATATCCGATAAAGGAACGGTTTTTTTGAAAGTATATCTTATTAAGCATAATTCTAATCGAAAATAGACAGTCGTGTAAATTGTGTAACTTTTTTTTTTTTATTTTCTTCTAATCTTTTAAAATCAATTTTCCGCATTTAGACAGAGATGAGAAGGCAATATTCATCTTATAATTGAGAATAAAGTAAGATGATGTCATGACTTCTTCTATAACCCAATAATATATAATATATGTTGCCTTCACGATACGCTATGCTTATGTAAAAAAACATATATATTTATATATAAAATATCTGTTGTAAGAGTTTAAGAAAAATTTGGATACAAATGAATTTATTTTTAATGAATAAATATAAAAAAGGAATACCCGCATTCTGGCACCGTCCAACGAAATTCTTGGTTCTAAATTTTTTACTAATTAACTGAACGCTCCTCAGATATATGCATAAAATCAAATGTGATCCTATCGATGAGGCCCGTGAGGATCTTCTGATCCCTGCCAGAATAGGAGTATCAACTTTAAAATATTGGAAAAAATTTTTATAACAAACATTCTATTAAAATAAATGAAAAAAAAAAAAAAAACCGTTTAAAATCTTAATTATTTATTAAGGAAATTCCAACATTTTGAAACATGATCTTTTTATAACGAGAACCAAACGTACGAATTTTATATATATATATATATATATATATTTAAAAAAAAAATAAAAATAATAATAATAATAAAAAGAACTAAGAAAGCCAAATTCGGCTTAAATCAAGCCTTGAATGACCATCACTTAAAGCTAATAATATAAAATATTAGCTATTTATTTCTTATCTGTGGACCGTTCAATTTCAAATGCATTAAGATTTGTATTTTTTATTTATTGAAATCTTTACGTAATCCTGATAAATACTCCAAAGATTGAGGTATACTCAGTCGTTTTGCCTTTTGCAAATAAGTTTATACTTTCAAACTTGATCTGATCAACTTGACGGTAAATTAAATAAAGATTAGAGCGCTTTTACATAAGAGCGCCTCATGTCGTTTTATATCCTAACCTTTAAACATGGAACGGTAAGGGACCATTGTAAATGTTTCGATAAATGATCGACAGAATGCTTTGCTTATGTAATCAATAGTACGCCAATACGTAAAGCGCAAGGAATGGAGAGAATATTCAGGTTTTAGATGAAAACAATTGCGTATGAACGGATTGCTGCACAGATTATGGAGTTTTTTTTCCCGATTGGATACTTTTATGACCGGTTTTTTTCATTTTTTGTTCAAAAATTTGCTTGCGATTACGGAAACTAGAATTTTGTGTTATTCTAAAAACGGATAAAACTTTTCGGTAGATCTATTATATATAGTCAGCGAGTTTAAATTGATCTTGATTGAGGGTCAAACTGATATAAGGCACCAGACTGACTTTTAATGAATATTTATTTAAATGAATTTCCTCTGTGTTTTTGTTGGTGTTTGAATTTTTTTTACCGTTCGTTGCAAGCTAACAATTAACATTTTCGTAATTGATTTGGATAACAGTTAAACCCAAGATAAACCTAAGAAACATATATGAATCTTTCGATAGGAATTTTTTTTTTTTGGGCTTCACAAACGCAACCATCTCACTGATATAATCGAGAATGTCTAAGTGATGGGCATTAAAATTTATTCAAAAATAACATCAAAATATATTACAAGTATTTACATGCAAATTAAAAGCATAGTAAAAGTTTAAATCAAACTAACTTTTGGAAACAAATTGAAAAAAAAAAAAAAAAAAAATATTGATACAAAACTCATAGCAAAGTGAAAAGAATGCAACAAAACAATGGCAGCAACGATTAAAATAGCAAAAAACTAATAAAAGATTATTCTCTTTAAAGAGAAAAACGAATAATAATTAAAAAATTCAAAACGATAACTAGTTTGCCGTAAAGAAATGATGAAACGAAAACTAAAAACATTTCTTATTATCAAAATCAAAAACAAAATGAACAAATATTTAGCGGACTTTAAAGACTTACATCGACGTGTAAATCCTGTAAAATATTCAAAAACGAATCCAAAAAATATACATATAAATAAAAAGAGAACAAAATATACAATCATGTAAGAGTTAAGTATATATATAAAATTGTTTTTTTTTTTTTTCTACTTATTTTTTATTTATTTATTTATTTTTTTTTTTTTGTGTTTCAATTAATATGAACTAATTTGATTAAGGAAACGAATCCCTTAGAAATGAACGTAGAAAGGGATTAACTTACCTTAACTTCAATGTCACCGATTTTATTTACCGCACGTATAATTGGCCTGCCAACCATTGAAGGGAATATATGCGCTGGAAAATTACTGCCAGCATAACCGCATTTTACAAACTGGAAACAAAAAAAGAGTAAAAAGGAAGTAAATAAGCAAATAGTAAACATCCCTATATACGTAAGTACATACACAAATAATGCATATTTTTAAGCAGAAAGATTTGTTGAAATATTAAGACAATTTCTTTAAGCACCTTTACGAACTTCAATACACCTAATGGGAGGTCTTCAAATCATGCTATCTGTGATTGAAAAGTACTACTAAAATTTCTATAATGAGAGCAATTCTCCTTTGCTCTTTTATTGTAATAATTATCTAATGTATATCAAATGTTTATTAATTAACTAACAACAGTTTCTTTTGTGAGATTTTCTGCATAGCACAACTATGGAAGATAGCAAAGCATATATATTAATGCTTAAGCTATGAGTAATATGTACATAAATGCAAGTATATGAATATATGAAAATTACTACATATATTGCAATGGGTGGGTGCAAGAAGCCTGTGGAAAAGCAACATTGAAAATAAAAAACACCATAGGATCGTTCATCGCCACTGCCTTACCCTAACCCTAACCCGTAAAGAAATCGAAACGTATCAAGTGTCATCACCCGAAACGAATATATGTCACTAGTGTATGAGTTTTATTTTACATTCGTTTTCCTCCGTTTGCTTTCTATTAAAACTTAACAGAAAAAAAAAGGTTAACAAACTAAAATCCATGCATTTATTACTTACCCCGGTTCCATTGTCGCAAACAATTACATTACGTCCCTTACTATCCATATTTTTTTCTTTCTTGTTCAGTCTTTTTAAGGCGTGGATGATCTTATTTTATTATTTCAAGATACTAAACATAAACAATTGCAAAACTTTATGCTTAATCACTAATTGAATATCTATCGCAATTCAATTATCATTTAATTATCTATATTTACGTTCGAAGATAATGTTAAACTAAAAAAAATATTTTATTTTCACAACTCTCATCGATGAATAATAATATCAGAAATCTGCGGGTGACATTTCTTAGAACTACACCTGTCAGCAGAGTACACAGCCGCTAGCCTTAATATAAAAGACGTTAATAAGACGGGGATGTCAAATAAATGTTGAAAAAATATGTTACAGAGCGTTGCAAAATGTTGTATAACTTAATACTATGTTTAAAATTAGAAAATTAATTATTATAGACAAATATCAATGCAAAATTGTCATAGTGGATAAAGTATTTTGTCGTTGTAATAAGTTTGTTCACTCAATCGTTACGTTTGTTACGGAGTAGTAGCTGTATTCGTTACAACTAGTTATATTTAAAAGTAGACAAAGAACAAAACTAACAAAGGAGAAGGTGTTCTCATTTTCCTATTTAAGTTTAGGCGGCAGATACAATTGAAATCCTGTCGCAATCAACTACTGGCAGCATATATTTTTAATAGGAAAACACCAATTTTTGCAAAATATATACCGCTTTTTGCTTAGCCACTCCAAAATCATATAAAACCTTGTCAGTATCTTTTTTTCTTGCTTTGTAAGTGTGAGTGGTTTTTTTTTATTGTCTCCTTACAAAATAAACATGCTTTGATAATTATCCAAATAAACAGTTTAAGATCAAAATATCAGTCGATTGAAGTATCAATCATATGATTTTATTTTGTCACATTAATAACATTGTTTCGATTTTTCATGCGCGCAAGTGTGGTAAGAGTTGGCAATCTAAATGCATTGCCGCAATGAAGCATGCAAACTATTTTCTATGCTGTACGCACAATGCACAAAGCATACGCAGGCATCATGTTTAGCTCTTAATGCTTTATATAGATTTGTGCTACTACATATGCACATATGCATATATGCACTATACAAAAATTCATTTATTTATTATTGGAAATTCACTCTCGTATAGAGAGAAGAATAGCTTTTCATTCAGTTACAAAAGCTTTTATTGCCGGCTTTCCTAATTGTTTGGTAAATAAGTTAATAATATTTTCTCACTTATGCTAAATTCACTTTGCTTTCTTTTCTTGTGAACGTTGGTTTTTGACTTTTCTGAGAGTAAAAACCATTGGAATTTGACTCTGGCAATTATTTCGCTAAACAATTCAATACCGTTTAGGGCGGTTACATTTTAAAGCATTCTATGTTAAAAGGATTAATTAATATAATGCAAGTATTTCCTTCTAATCTTCTATATTAAAATTCAAAGGTTTTTATTAGCGTACCAGTAGTAAATTTAGCTTAATTTCAATTTAAAGCTTATTAGTAACTATTGTGTAAACGTAGTGACTTTATTAAGTAAAGGCGATAGGCATATGAAAAATATTTAGTGCTAACTATTTAGATTTAGTTAATAAGCAAAAATGCTTCTAAAAAACTTAAATAAGTGACAAATATAATTGATTTATTTGTAGTCTTAACTTTAGGTTTTTCAAAATTATGAGCAGCAAGTGATCGAATAAGAAATAATCTCTTTTACATCCTAAAGAAGGCCTTTTTCCGATCCTTTTTTTCAAATAATCACTCTTTGAGTATGGTAACCATATTCTATAATCTAATCAGATCTTTATATCTGGCAATACTACATTGCACGAAAAATAAGATTTTGTCGATTTAATTGCAAAAAAATTGTGTACTTTTTCCTGAAAAAAACAGAAAACTATTGGAAAAAAGACTCTTGAAAAAAAATTAAGTGATATAAATATATGCACGAAAATGTTTTAAAAGCGACGAGATTAGGGAATCATTTGATGAATAATTAGCATATTTAATTAAACAAAACTAACAACAGAATTTTTCTGGTAAAAGTCATTTCCAAAGCGAGAAGGACAAAAATTGTAGAGAATTTTTTTGTAATTTGATTATTTTCGAGGAGAACGTTTCTGTCGGTTTTGGAAAGGTGCTTAGGGAACTTACACAATACGACGAGAATTTCAGTGTTTTGCTTCTTTATTTTGTTCAAAGAAAAACCCGCAAAATTAGTTTTCGCAAAGCAATTCTATGATAAATACAGAATTGCCTTGAAGTGTAAGTAAAAATAAGTGCGTGTGAGCATTGCGCGTACAAAAAGAATAATAGAAACGAAAACCTCGATTCAGTGGAATTCAGTAGTGTATTGTGTATCGTTTAAAAATAAATAAATAAACCAAATATAATTTGGTGTAAAATGTCGGCAACTCAGACAGCAACTACGCAAGGCAATCAGTCGGCTGGTGGCGGTGATCAGCAACAATCTTCTTCAGTCATCACACCAGATAGTCCCACACGTAACTTGAGATCCACTTTGAATACCACGGAACGTGTTATTGATAGTGTGCCATTTCCACCCAGTCACAAATTAACGATGCCTGAGGTGTTTTCGGATCAACGTACAGGCAAACCGAATCATGATTTACTGAAGCAACACTTTATTTTGGAAGGGCGCATTGAAGAAGCTCCAGCTTTACGGATTATACAGGAGGGTGCTGCCTTGTTACGTCAAGAGAAAACTATGATCGATATAGAAGCTCCGGTGACAGTGTGCGGTGATATACATGGCCAATTTTACGACCTGATGAAACTTTTCGAGGTTGGTGGATCTCCAGCAACAACTAAGTACCTCTTCTTAGGTGATTATGTTGATCGAGGTTACTTTAGCATTGAATGTGTTTTGTACCTATGGTCTTTGAAAATTACCTATCCGAACACGTTGTTTCTGTTGCGTGGTAATCACGAGTGCCGTCATCTGACTGAATATTTCACTTTCAAACAGGAATGCAAAATAAAATACTCGGAGCGTGTGTACGATGCCTGTATGGAAGCTTTCGATTGTTTACCGCTGGCGGCCCTTATGAATCAACAGTTTTTGTGCGTACACGGTGGCCTTTCGCCCGAAATACATGAATTGGAGGACATACGACGGTTAGACCGTTTTAAAGAGCCCCCTGCTTTTGGACCAATGTGCGATTTGCTGTGGTCTGATCCATTGGAGGACTTTGGCAATGAGAAAAACTCCGATTTTTACACACATAACTCCGTACGCGGCTGTTCGTATTTTTACAGCTATGCCGCTTGTTGTGACTTCCTGCAAAATAATAACCTTTTATCGATTATACGGGCCCATGAAGCACAAGATGCTGGATATCGCATGTATCGTAAAAGTCAAACCACCGGTTTCCCTTCCCTTATCACCATTTTCTCGGCTCCTAATTATCTAGATGTGTATAACAATAAGGCTGCCGTGCTTAAATATGAAAATAATGTTATGAATATACGACAGTTTAATTGTTCGCCTCACCCTTATTGGCTTCCGAATTTCATGGATGTGTTTACTTGGTCGTTACCATTTGTAGGCGAAAAGGTGACCGAAATGCTAGTTAATGTATTGAATATATGCTCGGATGATGAGCTAATGACGGAAGAAAGTGAAGAGCCTTTATCCGACGATGAGGCTGCAATACGTAAAGAAGTCATTCGCAATAAGATACGGGCTATCGGCAAGATGGCACGTGTTTTCTCTGTGTTACGTGAAGAATCCGAATCTGTGTTGCAACTTAAAGGACTTACACCCACCGGAGCCTTGCCATTGGGTGCACTGTCGGGTGGCAAGCAATCACTTAAGAATGCCATGCAAGGCTTCTCACCCAATCACAAAATCACCTCATTTGCCGAAGCTAAAGGATTGGATGCAGTCAATGAAAGAATGCCACCGAGACGTGACCAACCACCAACGCCCACCAGTGAGGAACAAAATAATCTGGCCGGCGGCGGAAATGATAATATCAATAGCAATACAAACAACAATGCCTCTCATAATGGGTAATTAGTAGGCCAGTAAGCAATATTTAGAATGAAAAAAGGAGAAATATATATAAATACATATATATATATATAAATACATATATATATATATATATAAATATAATATATATATGTGTATATATATATATTTCCCATAAAAGATTTTTTTCTTGAAATTTTTTTGGAATTTTCTGAAATCGGTTATATAATGTATGAAGCGTTTACCTATTTTTTAATTTTTATTTTAATTTTTTTTTTTTTCCTTTTTTTTTTTGCGTATTTGATGAAAAGAAATTTTACTATTTATATGTAAAAGCAAGGGAGATTGTTTTTAAAATAAATTTCAACACCTCGAAAAGCAATGGGAATATAAAGCCCGATGAAATTCATCTTATAGCCTATTATATTTTAAAGCACTAAACAAAAGTTAACTTTAAACGCGACTTATCTTGCTTCTAGGTATATATGATAAGTTCACTTTTTATCAAATGCTTCAGAAAAAGCCAAGTGCTTCTCAGATTGTATCGTCAATTCCAGAAATTACCAGAAAATTCTGAGAAAAATATTTATTCATGACAAACGTATTGTACTTGTATCAAAAACATCATATAATTACAGAGCATTGTACATTTAGCAAAGGATTTCCGATTGAAAATCGGAAAATAACTCTCGTAAATTTTCAATGGTTCTTAGTTTCTTCTAATAAATCTATCGAATCAAATATTATGAGAAAAAAATTTAATAGCGGAGTTTAAATAGTTCAAGATTAACCCGTCAAATAATTATCGTATTGAAAATGTACTTTCAAACGATTTATAAATACCGTTTGCGTATATAAATTTAAATTTATATTCAAAGAATGAACTCATTTAATAAGCACATATTTTTCACATACAATGATTAAGCGGAAAGGCGAATTGCTTTTGTATACAATTTCTTCTACGGTCAAATTTAAAATTCAGAATTTCAAGTTTTTAAATAAATTGTTAATATTAAGTTAAGGACTGATAAAGTCATCTTGATTCCGTCATGATTCCTATTTAAATTTTTATATATTAATTATTTATCTGCTTTTACGTTCATTTTCTTTAATGAACAACATTACCAAATCGAGGAATACTATACAGTTTAGGTTTTATAAATATAACCTTGTGTCAGTTTTGTTTTACTTAAAATTGCATTTAACTAAACTGAAGGGGTAAAAAAGCAAACTGCATTTTCAAAAGAAGTTTCTTATTTCTTTGCGCAATCTGTTGGTAAATATATTTTATTGTTTACAACACACACACACACACACACACACACACACACTACAAATGCAATCCAATGTTCGTTTAAAATTTTCAGTTACCCTACAAGTTGCTTAATTCAATATAATGGGATAACTACGCCTAGAGGGATAATGAGCAAACACCTAACGTAACGTTTAGCTAATGTTTTATGATAATTAATCGGAAAGTCTGTCTATCAGAAACTTAGCAGCAACAGATTATAACTGCATTTAATGTTTAATATTAAAAGCTACTTAAGGTATCAATTGCCTTGATATTAATAAATGTTAGATTTATAAATAGCATTCTTTCCGTCTATGCATAAATATGTAACGTAAAACGATTGATTTTAAACAAAAAAAACATCTCGTAATTAATTGCTGAATGGGCCTTGGTTATCTTTGAAGTTGGCAACTGCCGGTTGGCGACTATTAAAAATTTCATTGACGTGACGACATTAATCGAACCAGGGCCGAAAGTTGAGATCATGATGTGTAATGAAACTTTTACTAATTATATACGATTGTTCTTTTTTTTTGGAAATGAAACAAGTAAAAGGACGACAGCAGACCAGGGCGCATCATTAAATAATCTAAACCACTCTACAGTTATTCATATAACGATTTTTCAAAATGATCCGATCGCAAGCATTCCCGACGGTGTTTGTGTTTCGGCCCAAACATGTTCGTGTAAAAAATTTCATCGAAATCTCTCAAAAATGACGGTCTATAGGTTGAGTACAAGAAAAGGAGACGGACAGACTGTTAGGCAAGTTTAGATCGATTCGTAGTGTGCTTGTGAATAAAAGGTGTATCTATCTTAAATCCTTCTGGGTGTTACATACATTCGAGCAAATTTAATATACCCTTGTATCGCAAGTAGCATTGAGTGTAAAAATTTCAAGATATGAAAAATGGATATTTTAATCAATATATTCTTTACCTTGCTATAGGTGTAATGAATACTTTGTGAAAAGCTTTCAAGAGAAATTTCAATCTTTAATTAATATAAATGATATAACCCACATATATTTGATTTGATTGCAATTTTATTAACTAAGGCATGCATAGATAAAGAGCAAATGATTCCGAATATACTAAATTTTGCACATAAAAGCATTCAATTATACCTTTTCGCTGCGTTGAGCTGAGCTGAGATGTTCTTATCCTTGATCGTCTAACGTAAAAAGAAAACTTATTTCTTCGTAATGCGAGGGGTCCTTTAATGATAAATGACTGAGATTCGACCACAATCTTGCCCTTATGAACAGGATAGTCTTTCTCTCTCTCTCTCTCTCTCTCTCTCTCTCTCTCTCTCTCTCTCTCTCTGTCACTCTCTATCTATCTATCTATCTCTATCTCTATCTCTCGCTCTACTTAATCTTATAATGTCAAATGGGAGCAAAAGTTCTGTATAGAGAAGTATTTCGTTAACTAGAATCGCCTTAGCCGCTTTACGCATTGGCGTTTAAAATGAATGTTAAATATTTCTTGATTGAAGGCGACCAAGACCATATAAATTACTTGAAATTTTCGTTCTGTTTCCCTTTCTTCGTAAGAGGACTGACAGGCAGTTTACATTCGTTTGCTAAATGGTTTTACCGAAGCTTGACATTGCTCAGAAATCAAAGGCGATCAAACACATTGACATTGAATGGGGGTGAAAGGCTTTTTAATATATATTACATAGGGTCTCTGAAAAGGAATGGATAAGTCTAATATCGGCCTTCCCTTCCCTCCTTTTTTTTTTTTTTAAATGGTGGTAATGACTGGTAGCAGCTAAACAGATTAGATTTGAATAAAAATCTTTCAAAGGATTAAAATTGTAATGCAATATTTAATTCTTAAATGTGAAGTGAAGACATTGTGTCTTCTTTTCTTTTTTTTTTTTTTTTTTTTTAAGTATCAAATGCTGAAATACAATGCAATCGTTTATTGCGCAATTCATACAAAAAAAAAAAAATGAAAATATTTTTTTCCATTCCTCAATTTATTTTCTATTACGAAAATGTGTTGAGTACTCTTTTTTTTTTTTTTAATGCGATCGATTGCTTTTTGTAATGATGCACTTGGATTAATTTGAAACATAAATTAGTTGTACCTGTTGTTAAGTGAAGCGGTGCCCTCTCAAAGTGCTCTTGAATGATTTGTGTAAACTTAATAAATAGAAAAGACTTTAGATATCATTCTCTCATTTAAAGGTAATAGATTCCTGCTGTTTGTTACCCTTCTACCTTGTTAAGATAACGGATAACGTTAAACACTCAACTTTGATTGCATTTTAAATTATATTGGTCTACGGCACAGTTGATCAAAAACATTTACGTGCACCAATATTTCTAATAACAAATTTCACATTTTCGAATTACATATCTAAGCGTCGACTTCACTTAATTTTTGCATTGATTTACGTTAAAAAATTGTAATTTCCTAAATACCTTTCAAAGCATATCATTAAAGAATAACTTCTCTCCCTAAGGTGATAAAATTAAAAATTTTGCATTCGTCTTGAATCAGGTCTCACCTAAATATCAGCCAAACCATCTGGCAGTTAAGCCGTCCATCGTGTTTGCTTATCGTATTGCTACAAGCTTGCTTAGGCCGGAAATGTGATTGATTTGATTATAAAGTGAGAGGCAGGAAAGTGCCATTATATTAGATTGTTGTTCGGACAGTCATTTCGTTTCAATTCCAACCGTGAATTTCATTGCATTTTCGAACGGTATTTTCATTATATATGCTAACGGCTAATATACCAAGGCTTGTTGTTCAAAAGATTCGTTTGCTTCTGCGGAATGGATGTTGTTTGATGTGGAAATCATCAAAATCTGGCATATTTTACTCTTTTTACTTTGGAGAAAGCAGAAAGTGTCTTTAAGCAAGATGATCTTTAAATGGCATGAAGTTTAAAGTGATCGATGTCATCTAGGACATGACGCTTTTCTGTATTTCCAACTGGATCAGATTGGAAAAAGTTGACTTAAAGGTAAGGGAATGATTAAGATTTAGATATCGATTTAGAATCAATGTCTGCATCAATTAAAGTCTTGCCATCTGTCCGTTCATGTGTCCATTCGCCCGGCTAGTACTCAACAGGACTTGATTATACTTCTTGATGTAGACTCAACTGCTGCACCGAACTACATCTGTCTTTATATCCGTCTCTCTATCCGTCTAGTATACTTCTTACAAATTGTCGGAAATTTTGATGAGATTTGGCGTGAGCTGACATGTTTTATCGTAAGGACGAACGTTATTAAACGTGGTTGGGATCCGACTACCTTTTCGACCACTTCCCATATAATGTGCTATTTTAACAAGCCTTTAACAGGTAAGAAAGTTATATTCGCCGGCGACCGAATCTCGCATACCCATCGCTACGCTTTTTGTATTCCACTTTCCAAGCTCTTTTATTTGATGCACATATCGCTGGTATTATTGAGAAAAAATTAATTGCGGTGTATACCGTAGTCCTTTTAGAATTAACCCCATTTTTAGGGAAAAAACAAAATGAGTATACATCTATCTTACAAAAATGAAATATGAAAGAAATTTATTTGTAGAAATTACTAATAGTAGTAGCCAACCGCTCAAAGTTCACGATCCCTCGATATAGGGCGAATATAAAAGCTTAACTTATTTGTTTACGCGATTAAATTGAAAAGGACTCTTGACGCTGGCCAAACTTACGGTTTACAAGTGATACCGTTTAAATTGGACTAACAACAAGTTCACATAATATATGGCATATGGATATTAAAGGAAGGAATGCCTATATAAAATTTCGTTTTTTCACACGTGTCCGTGAACTCTCTTGACTAACTGTGCC